AAAAAAAATAATTAAACCCCATCCCTAACGTTCTTTTTCTTTGGGAAGATAATAAACAAAACTTAAACTCACCTTTTTAAAAGAGATTTGTAGGACTAAGAAGAAAAAGTATGTACAAAAAAAACTGGAGCTTGGCTGCAGATGTTAGTTACACAATCGGATGTCTTGAAGAGGCTGAGTTCGATTTCTCGGGATACTATCGGTAGACATCGAGGCCTGAATGGCGTGGATTTTTCGTGTGCAATTTTCAGATCCCCAGATGTAGGAAGATTGGTGGTTTATAACCCGCACACCTTATCCCATCGCCTACTAAAATTCAACTCTCTGCTCGATTCTCTGAGAACTCGAAGGTTCTGGTACCACGGAAGTACTTTGATTTGGTGGGGGTAACATTTCCGGAATAAACGATTGATGAACTCGGCAACCAGAAATACAAATACAGATGGTAGACATATGTGACACTCAATACCTGATGAATGGGACTGTTAAATAAGAAGATTTATTTGATGGTAAGTATTTGGTAGTTAGTAATTAGTAATTAACCTTTTTTCTTTTTGAAGGTAACTTGGTAAGTTACTGTAAACCGAAGAAATATATGGATTCATATAAATTGTGAACCAGTTTTAAACAAATGCACCTACGTCATCTTTTATTTAAAGTTGTGGTATTCTAATGTAGATAATATATATATTTTTATATTGTTATTACCGTTACCTGTATAAGTATTTTCCATTAAATTTTACAATATCACTTATCAAGTATTTTAATTTTTCTGCTACCTTAGTACATTGTAATTGTAAAATTAGTTATTCATAAAGTAATTAATATGATTTTACAAATTTTAAGTACTTTTCTGGCGGTAGTAATTTTAAATGCTACACCGCATAGAAAAATTTTCATTTCTAGTGATATTTGAAAGCCAAAAAGCCAAAAATCTCCGTGGATATACGATTCACCCAAATATGGCTTTTTGAAACAGATACCGTCTGGACTAATATTCTTACCTACACCTATACCTGTATTTTTAAGTGTATAAATAGAGAGTGTATAAGAGATATACATCAAGTCTTATTGAAATGCATTTTTCACACAACATATTTATTATAAACATAGAATGACTTGGAATACCTAAATACGTTTTCGGATTTTTCTCAATGACGTAAATGGTTTGCTTTTCTACATTTTCTTTTGCGTTCATTTTTGTACAAACGTACCCAACGTAATAGACTCGGTACTTGTGGATGTATGCGACGACGTGTATGTGCCAGTAGTAGGTACTTTGACTAGTATTTGAAGCTACTCAGAACCACCCTCGTTTTTCTTTGATTGCCCGTCTAGGGGGTTGTAAAATATTATTATTTAAATAAATTGCTTATAGGTCCCCCTCGTATTTCGAAATTTTTGCGGACGGGAACGTTTAGATGGGGTAGAATTTTTTTTGTCGGCATAAATTTGAAAATTCTGCTCTAATTGTTCAAATAATAATATTTACCCCTAGACGGGCAACCAAAGAAAAACGAGAGTGGTTCTTAACTGCGTATAGGTCCCTCTCGCCGACGTATTTTGTATTTTTTGTGAACACGAACATTTAGATGGGGTAGAATTTTTTTTCCGGCATAAAGTTGGAAATTGTGCTCTAAATGATCAAATAATAATATTTTACAACCCCCTAGACGTACAACCAAAGAAAAACGAAGGTGGTTGTGAGTTGCTTGGGAAACCGTGGATAACAACCTTTCATTTTTCGGTAATGAAATTAATATTTTATTCGGAGTCGATCCTGAGGTACTTTTGCAGCATGGAACTATACAATATTTGTACAATCCTCGGTTTCGACCCATTTAGACACAAAAACAATGATTAACGAAACTGCCAAGCGAACCACACACCGTATGTATTAACACAGAATGGGATGAGAGCGAGCGCGAGCGGAGTGCTCTGCAAGTCGCTCGTACCGGTATTATGACGTCAGGCACGTTGCTCTACGTTTTTCCGCGCTCTGTTTTCATTAATTTATTTCACACATTTCTCGTTGAAACAAAAAAATTGATTTTTGGCGTACTATATAAATAGTGAAAATAGTGTAGAATAATATGTACCGTATCCGCACGCTCAAAAAGGCAGGCGATATTGTTTTAAAAAATATATATTATTTTATCTTATCATAGATCCCGAGAAAAGTACGACGAAGTACAAAGTACGTTTTAGTACATGTAATAAAACACTAAAAAATATATAAATTAAGGGCCTATTTAATTTTGCAACTAAAGAAATTTTTTAAATAATTTCCCTTCGCTATAAAAATGCTATTTTTGAAAAAAACCAATGGCACTCGATAGCTTTCTGTTAAATCTACCCATAAAAAAAGTTGGCGCGACTTCGGATACCGCTGAGATTTGTACAGATCGTTAATTAGTTATTTTGTTTATAAGGCCATAACACGCGAAATAATCCACTTACGGATTCCGGCTTTCGCATAAACTATTTGTCTGCAGTGAGAATCATTGAGTGTTATCCGAAGAAGCCTCTGATAACATCGCCATTTATTATAGTTTATTTAAAATGGCATAATTGGCGGTTTTTGCAAGTAACTTTTGATTGAATTGATATTTTTTGGCGCTCGAGAAGTCGTTTTATAGGCGAACAAAAAATATTTTACCATTACGGAAAAACGCGAATTTCTGCTAAAACGGCATGTTTACTGACGCTTGATTATTTATTTAACAAATTAGTTGCAACATTCCATTGTTTATTGTATATCTCAAAAAATTCAATAAAAAAAAAACTAATTGCGCCAATCGAAAGAACGGGAAATTTTACATGAAAAATGTATATAAAGTTATTTTCTAAAATGAAAAGTTTATGTTGTAGAATTTTTTTTAAATCGTACGAAAATGTAAAGCGTTGACACTTGCGCGCAGGACTCGAGCAACGCGCGGCCTCGCGCGCTGTCTACTATTTTTTTTATAAATTTTGATCTATTGGATCAAATTAAGTCCACAAAAATTTAAATGAAAGAGGAATCTTGTAGGTAACAAATTATCATAATTTTAAAATCGAAAAAATATTTACAGGAATAGTGTGTAAATAAATTTACGTAACGGTATCCAAATTTCTTTAAAATTTAACTAGTTGATTTCATTTTATACTTGCTCAATGATCTGAAAAATCCTAAAAATATCAATATGACTAAAATTGCTTTAAAAATGTAATTTTTAAATAAATTTAAAAAGTCGGCCATATTGGAACAGCCATTTTGAATTTTCATTTTCTGATATAATATTCTTGTTCAGAGACCTCAAAAACCACTATAATGTCAATTTAACTAAATTTACTTTGAAATTTGTAATTTTTAAATTAATTGTTTAAAAAAGGCGGCCATATTGGATCAGTCATTTTGAATTTTTATTTTCTGATATAATATTCTTCTTCATCGACTTCGAAAACCTCTATATCAATTTGATTGAAATTGCTTTGAAAATTGTCATTTTTTAATAAATTGTTTAAAAAATGTCGGCCATATTGCCATTTTGAATTTTTATTTTTTACCATTATATTCTTATTCAGTGACCTCGAAAACCCCTATAGTATCAATTTGATTAGTTGGTTTGAAAAACCATTTTTTATTGTTTAAACAAATAAATAACAATTAGTGTATAAATATGTTTTTCTATGGACCATTTCAAGGCGATTGCAAAAGGTTTTATGAAAATATATTGGTCTTTGGATTGACCGTCTTTTCCATAAATTTCATCAACATCTATCGATTTTTGCAATAATAATGCGAAATTCTCAAAAAAATTATTTTATCGTGTTTAACCTTTATTTTGCAATTAACAAATTGATGAAATATGACTTTAGACACCTTAAATTGTACGTAATTTAATTGCCAACAACATATAATGACTAATTTTCCGATAGGTCGTCTAGATTTTCGAGGGCAGTAATAATAATAATAATAATAATAATAATAATAATAATAATAATAATAATAATTTTTTCACGATCAAACTCTAATTCGACTGGAGTAATAACAAACTAGCGGTAAAAAGAAAACCCAATTTGTTTGATTTAATTCTCACGCTGAATGCAATTAACCTACCATTTCATATATTAGATAAAACATTTCGTTCCTTCTGGAATGAATAAAATCCCTAATGAACATCATAAAGTCGGACCAGGTTAGGAATAGATTACTTGAATTATGCAAATATTACATTAGATGTGGCCCCAAACGATTTTATTTAAATAGAGAGGGAAATACACAACATTGTACTAATAAATAAATATTAAATATCACATCGTGCTCTTTTATACATTACTTCAATTTAAAAATTATTTAAAAATAACATACCACATATTAAAACTATTTTTATTAACACAAAAATCACTACTTTTATAATCATTTCTCAATAGCTATCGGCCAACGTAACTTACATTTGTGAAATTGATAGTGTGTTGATATTTCTATTTATACTACTTAATAAAGAAGTTTTCTGATAACCTTTCCATCGCTGTACTTCCCTAATGCGCAGACATTTTTATTCTTGCGGCAGTCTCAAACAGTTTAAGACTTTCAGAAAAATCAGATATACTCGACCACTTAAGTTGTCACGTACTTTCAACATGTCTAAGATCACGAACCAATTGGTCAAATATCTCTGATAGTTTCATATCAATTTTGCAGAAACAGACAAATGATAGTTGGACAATAAAAATTTGACCCTTGTGGTATTCCCGAAGTTGAAACGACAGTGTGATGTAAAATTATTGCATACGACGTACAGGGTGATTCACTATATTTTGTCCCATCCATTAACTTTTTTGTTTTTAGAGTTATAAAAAAATGTAAAATACAAAAGTAGCACGATTTTTTCGAAAATGATAGTAGAAATTATAGTGTCATTTAATAGGTTTATATAGTTTTATGATGGTGTCTTATTAACAAAGTACGATTTGGGAATCGACAACTTTTTAAATAATGGGAACATAAAAAAATATTATATAGGAAAAATATTTAAAATTAAGGGATCTTTATCGTGACATCTGGAAAAATTTCTGTGTTTTGACCCTACCTTTCAGTAAAAGTAATCAGAAATGCAATAGTTTTTAAAATAATTTATTTTTCTCAGCCGTTTTCTCATTTCTCCAGTTAAATCGATCACCCTGTACTGTACATTGCGCTGCTCGGAATATTTTAAAAAATATTGATGATGTGTTTAGAGAGTTTAGTGTCAAATTCTCATATTTTACATAAAACTGTATACTTTTGCAAACCTGGATCCTATAATTAAACTCAGTTATTTCAGAGATATTTATCTCGTGGTATTTTATAAACCAAATCAGGTGTCAAGGTCTGCAAGAACCTTTATTCTTTCTCTGTTGGAAAACATTATTAGCAAACATGATTAGCTAAAATATGTTTACGGCAGTGTGTACCAATCGTAAAGTAGTACTCGAACACATAAAAAAACAAAACGCATAGTCTAACTTCTTTTATTTTCAAAATATGTAACCCTAAGAGGAACGTGGTTCAATCATATTATATTTCATACACCTCTCTTCCATTTCTTCTTCAACCCAAAGTGAACTGTTAATTTTGTTGTTCTGCCTATATTGTATTGACATAATTTTACCGTCTTTGTTCACCAGGAATGCGTCAGTATCGTTAATTTTAATCCAAATATCACTATTTGTATTCAGTTCCCATATTTCATGATTTGTGCCATTTTTAACGTATATTAAAAGTCCCCTAAAAACAATTAAATTATATAAATATATGTTAACGGCAAGGAAAAACAAATATACAGGCTATTATAAATTCGCTTCTCACTACAGGTATCTCGGAAATGGTGAGAGATATGAAGTAGCTTAAATGGGGGCAAAGTGGCATAATCAGTGGACCAACGTTATGGCTCTAAAAGATCAACAAATCAATCAATTAGTTTTCGAAATACCGAAATTTTGGTAATCCGTTCTTGTTTCATTTCTGCCTTGTTTGAGGTGATATTGAAAAAAGAAAACACTTTCTCAAGGCAACTTTTTTCCCTCTGTCGAATGGCATAATCAATTTTTATATGTAACGTTTCGTCTGTCATTTTTTTAAATACGACCCTGGAAATTTTATTAAATTTTTTTGCAAGCCTTCATCGCTGAAAGTACTTATTATTAGGTTTAAGTTGACGATATTGTTCGTAATGTTTATTAATGATATAATTGCAAATGTTAACTGGGTACACTGTTTGCTATATGCTGATGATCTAAAATTATTTACAGAAATTACATCTGAATCTGATTGTGCCCTACTTCAAGAAGCAATAACTGTGATAGATGTTTGATACAACCAAAATAAATTACCTCTAAATGCAGATAAATGTAATGTAATGTCTTTCACACGCAAAATTATCTATGTACATTATATATGCATAAGATATATTGGTGTTGTTTTCGATGCTAAATTAAATTTTATAAAACACATTGAGATAGTTGCATCATCTGCTTATAAATCTTTAGATATTATATGTTCTTCTCAAGGATTCCGCAGCATACATACTATGAAATTACTTTATGAATCTTTTGTTAGGTCAAAATTGGAATATTCATCAATTGTCTGGAGTCCTCTTTATAGTGCACACATTGAAACTGGAAAAAGTTTAAATTTTTAAAATTTGTCGCATTTAAGTTTGACGGAATATATCCTGAAAGAGGATATCCACATAATGCCCTACTTGATCGTTTTCATTGTAATTAGTTGAAAACACGTAGAATCACATATCAAATTGTCTTTTTAGATGAAATACTAAACAACTTAATTGATTGCACCTGGTTACTGAACAAAATTCAGATCAAAGTTCCTAGGCTTGCTTCTCGTGAAAATGATATATTTAAATTACCCACTGTAAGAACTAACGTTATGAAAACATCTCCTTTATATCAGATGATTGTCAACTATTACAATGTTGAGGACAGGTTTGATATATTTTTTGCACTATTAGTGAAATTAAAAAGCGGACTCTTTACTGTTAATTTATAGTTTTAATACTTTATTTTTGTCTTTACTATTTTATTGATTCGTGTCTATCTATATATTTATGTAAGTGTAGGTGTGTGTATAAGTATTGACTAAGAGTCGGATAGGAACATTTTCCTAATCATTTTAGGCACCGTAAGAGTCTATGACTTAAATAGTACAACCTAAAAGAAAACATTTAAGCACTATGCCGTCAATTCTCCGTGGCACATGGGTTGTCAGCGGAAAATCAAACTTTCCAATTTTGGGCCGGGTAGATTAATTAAATAGAATTGACGGCATTTCGAGCCAAGGTAGATATTAGAGAAATAAGACATAAAAACCATATGCGTACAAAAATAACGTTCTGGAAAGAAAAAAAATCATTTTCCAAATATTTTCACTAATGTAAAAATCATTGTAAAAACTATACCTCAAGTCATTATGTCGTACATTTATGGCACATGAGGTCACAGTAGGTAAATGAATTTTCCACTCAAGGGGTGGATATTTTAGTGAAAAGTTCCTGTACGGCATTTGTGCCCATATCGAATTCATTAAAAATTAACTATTAAAAAAATATTGCCGTATAAATATCGTGGCACTAAAGGGAAAAAATGGCCCCAAAAAAAAAACGTTTGCATATAACTGAATTTTTTTTTTCCATGCAAAAGTTTTTAATATGTGTACGCACATCTACAATTCAATGTTTGTTTTGCCAAAATTTATTTTTTATTTTTCAATTATGCCGTATATATTTTGAATCCAATACAATAAATAAAATAAAATTGTTTGATGTAGAATAATATGAAATTGTAAAATGAATAATAATTTTTATCATAATTTTCTTTGAAAAATAATTTGATAAAAAAAATAATTAATCAAACATGAAAATGGTGCATTCTGTAAAGGTTGCTAATGATGGTGATCACGATAAAGATTTCGGAAGTGAACACGAAAGTGGAGTTGAGGAGGACGAGGATTAAGTTTTCATATTGCATTAAAATCAACAAAAACAAAATAAAAAAAAGATCATTAAATGTCATTAAGATCAACAAGATTTAATTAACTTTTCATTTCATTATTTTAGTAGTCTATTTTATAAAATAATTTTCTAAAAATAATTTTTTTTTGTAAAAAGTAAAACATATAAACGTTATTAATACTTCTTTCAAATATCAAATATTTAATTTTTTGGTAATTATTATAAATTTTTTGCATTGAAAAAGATAAATTCTAAAACATATATTGATTAACAATTTATATCGTATTCGATGCAAAGTAGAGCAAAAAGTTGTTGGTCTTTTATCAAAGGAAAATCGTGTCATCATTTTTAGGAGGCGTAAGATAAACCATTTCAAATTTAAAATGATATTGAATGTTAAATCTGAAATACCGCTGCATACGCACTGTGTTCTGGTACTAGCTGTAGTCGCCCAGGTGCATCGAGTGTACGAACTGGTCGGTTATACGTCAAATACTAACCTGGCGAGCTTGATCGTAAAACAGATCCAAAAAAACAAGTAAACAACAGTGGCGCGTACAGAGGTAAAATGTAGTACATATGTGGAAATTAAAAAACAAACTGGATTTATAATAAATTACATTTGAAATAAATAGTTTATGAGAACACAGGAATTTTTGTAGGAACAAGGATGCCAGACGTGAACTGATTCCTTCGTCCTGTATAAAGAAATGATTCAATTTCTAAAACCCTTAAAAGCGTATGGCATTGGATCCCTTGACAATGATTTATTACTTTGCATCGAATATGATCCTACTATACTTTTATATTTTTATTGGTCTACCTATTTAGAATTTACGAAACACTATCTCTTTTCATTTTATTGTTTATACAATTTATGCATATATTATTTGTATATTCCATGCAAATGTAACGGCAATATAATTTTTTATTACCATTTGATGGTGTTAATGTTATGGGGTAAATGCCGTACAGGAATATATAATTTCATTATGTAGTAAAAATGCCTTGGAAAATCCTACTTATTATGGAAAACCCTGACATTAAAAATAGACGGCATCCACAATTTTGTTAATTTAACCCTTGAATAATTTAAAACAGTAATAAAATTTAAAATATATAGTACAGTAGTAGCTGTCAAATGGATTTTCCAAATTGAAACAATTTGTTTTATTCACGGCCAATTGTTATTTTCTGGTGCCAGTAATTTTGTACGGCACTTTTGTATGAAGACTATAACTTGGAATAACTTGCTTCCGAAATTTATGCCGTTCAGGAAATAATGATTTTTACACAAAGAGAAATGGCGTTAACTTTAAAGCACTCATAATTATGTAATAAATTTCTTTTAGCCAAATATTTTGTACGGCACTTATATTTTTCATTATTTTAGAGCATAAATAAAACTCTGAAATCCGTGCCGTACATTTCTCAATAATTTTTTGGAATGTTAATGTTTGGAGTTAATGTCTAAATTTGAGATGAAAAGTAAAGGAACATTAAAGTATTTTTTAGGTTTAGAAATAGATTATAGAAGAAATGAAGGGATAATGAGAATAAGTTAAAGAAGAAGTAGAAGTTGCTATGGTATTTATATAAATAAAAAACAAAAGTTGTTGTAAAATAGAATTGTAAAAGGAAGAGAATAAATGCTATTGTGAATTAGAAAAGGCCTTTATTACAATATAACATAACAGACCTCGTATCTTACGAGTACTCACCCACTTCCAACGTTGCCAATAAAATCTTCAGATTTATTTTGTGGCTTTAAAATCCACAAATTTGAGTCTCTATTGTCGCCCTTTCCGCCGTTAATAACTGCTTCTGCTTCCTCCAAGATCTCTCCTGCTTGATTATTCTTATCTACTGGTATATTTGTTATATGTCCCATATGTTCGATAAACAACCATTTGTCATTTTCATTACTTGAATTATCGGAGAAACACAAATATTTGTCACCGACTTGTGCCTCAAATATTCTAGGGTTCTCGATTTCAATCCGAGTAGCACTGCGGGTATTAAATTTCCATATGTCGTAAATTTTACCATTTAGTGGACAGCCTATATTTTCACTGAAAAATAAGTACCTATGTAAAGTGAACAGATATATTGCAGGTAACGAATTTACCATAAATTGTTTTGTGAAGCGTTGGCGATAATGAAATTGATTTTTAATAGGACATAAATGAAAGCAGCTTACCCACTTGCAACGTTGGTAATGGAGTATCCAGAATTGTTTCGCGGCGTTATCGTCCACAGTTGTTCGTCTCTATTTTGCCACTTTTCCAGTGTATAGTTACCGCTTATTACTTGCCATACCATTCCGGTTTTTTCATTTTCTATTATGTATCTCATATTTAGTTTCTTAGACTGTTCGATAAACAACCATTTGTCATTTTTATTACTTGAATTATCGTAGAAACACAAATATCTGTTACCGACTTGCGCCTCAAATATTCTAGGGTTCTCGATTTCAATCCGAGTAGCAGTGTAGGTATTAAACTTCCATGTGCCGTAAATTTGATCATTTAATGGACAGCCTACATTTTCACTGAAAAATATGTATGTAGAGTGAACAGATATATTGCAGGTATATTTACCATAAACTGATTTTGCGAAGCATTAGCTATAACATATATGGGCAACCCCGGCCCCCGGGCCGGATCCGGCACTCCACCAGCTTAAATCCGGCCCGCGAGAGATTCAGAAAATTCAAATAACGATATCAATACAAATCGATAAATAATATTATTAAGCGTACGCAGTGGAACCCTACAAATCGAGTCCGAAATAGTCGTTAGAAAGAGACAAACAGATAAACATTCGGGAAGCCGTCCGATGCACTTGAAGCACTCTCGTACAGAGAGTACAAACCTCTCGTGTACTAGAGCTGGGTCGCTCATGAACGACTCGCACGAATGTGCCGGCACTGGCACATAATCTTGTGCCGTGAACGAACGACTCGCAACGAAGGAACTAATCGTTCATCGTTCATACCGGCACCTAATCTGTTACCGGCACTGAGCGAGCACTGAACATTGAACGAGCTGAGAGTCGAGCTCGATTGTTCCACTCCAGCTCCAGGCTCCAGAGTCAGAGGTAGAGGTCTTTAATATCTCATGAGCCGCGAAATGCGCGAAAGGCGTGGCGTATCCCCATAATTCTTCTAATAAGCACGTTGTGAAAACATTGACTCAGAACTAGACCATGTGCATCATTACAAGTAGAAATGAACTAAGGCGCTCGGGCATCAATAAAGTCAACTGGCGAACGTTCGTTATATATATTTTTATTGTTTAAATTAAAATAATAAAGAATAGGGCATTTTATTATGATATTTGTAATCGGATCAAATCGGCTTGTTTACGCTAGAACTCGAGAGAGACGGTGAATAATAGGTGTAATGTTTTTAGGATGTAGAATAATTTAGGCGACGGTCGGAATTATGTTTCTGCGCATATGAAGGTCAAAGCTCATAATATTTTAAAACCTCTCTAAATACCACGACTCACGATTGGACTACAGATGTGTGAATTCTCCATATAACGTTGACTGATTACCACGACAGAAATACAATTTAGGAATAAGTGAGCCGCAAATGTAAAAATAAATGTTTATTATTAGAATACTGTAGAATATTTTAATAGGATGTATAATTGTTTAAAACTGCAATAAATTATTATCAAGATATTAAAAATATAATAAAGTTCATTTCTCCTAGGCATAAATAAACGGAAAAATTATTAAATTAACAAAATAATCTCAAATGCAGTTATAGGTAATAGTTAAAAGAATGTTTGCAAATTATATAGATACCTATTACAAATTATAATTTAAAAATATAATTTGGGAGACTTTTTCACCTTGTAAACTACTTAGTTTAGCAGTAACAATTTGCCCTGCTTTGGAAAAAATCCTCTCACACGGAACAGATGATGCTACGACATGTAATAAATAAGTGTTGTTAAATTATATAGAAAATAATAATAGAGAGAGAAATAGTTGTTTTTTTGGTGGAGTTTTCCTAGTTCTAAAAAAGAACATAAAATCGATTAGCCATCCTTATATATGAAGGCGAAGGAAGGTGTAAAGAATAGGGTCATTTGTAATAAACACGATTTTGTTACTTGTCAAAACATTTTCTGAATAAGTGCCACCTCCCACCAGTTGTGCATATTAGGCATTAGGCACAACCACATCTCGAAAGAGCAGGAGTGAGCAAGAGACGAGTGTTTACTTGAGCAATTGTCAGGATAGTCAACATTCAACATCTTGCACGTGTCGTTCAAATGAACGACTCGGATTGAACGGCACACTTAAATGAGCTGTGCCGCACGTGCCAATACATCCAAAATGAACGAGCGACTCAGCTCTATCTCGTACGATTAAGAGTATTCTAGTTGCTTATTGGGGGTAATATATAAACCGCTCAGCGCGCGTGTCATCCAATTACTTCTTAACAACTGATAAAGTTCGCATCGCATATTCGCGTACGGTCAACAGTCAACAGTATGACGCGGGAAATATTCTAACAAATTATATCAACATGTCTGCATTAAAAAAGCGGAAAGTGGATATAGAATGTCGTCAATTCCAAGACAAATGGACTGAGGAATACTTTTTTATCTTGCACAGTGGTAAACCTATGTGTTTGTTGTGCAATGAAACAATTTCTGTTTCAAAAGAATACAATATGAAGCGGCATTACTCCAGCAAGCATTTCGCTCAATATAATTTACTCACGGGCCAGTTAAGAAAGGGTAAAATTAAAAAACTCATTGCCGATTTAGGGAAACAGCAACAAATGTTCCATTTACAAAAATCGATTCTAGACAGTGTTGTTAAAGCTAGTTTTATAATTAGTTCCAAAATAGCGAAAACATCGAAGTAATTTTCTGAGGGACAGTTTGTTAAAGAGTGGCTAGTAGAAGTTGCAGAATTTTTATGCCCAGAAAAGAAGAAAGAGTTTGAGAAAGTGAGTTTATCGCATAGTACTGTTGTTCGACGTATAGATATGATGACTAGTGATATCAAAAAAACATTGACCGATAGATTGGCTGGTTTTCAAGCATTTTCGATTGCTTTGGATGAGAGTACAGATTTATCTGACACAGCCCAGTTAGCTATTTTTATACGATGATGAAGAATTTGCAGTGACAGAGGAATTACTGGCTTTATCGGAATTCTGAAAGAAAGAGCAACCGCCATGAATGTGCAAGAATGTGATTTAATAATTCTGCATTGCATTATTCACCAACAAAACTTCCAGTCCATTCGACTGAAGAATGTTATGGATGTGGTAGTAAATACCATTAATTTCATTAGAACCCCCCGATCTTAACCATCGCCAGTTTAAAGCATTTTTGGATGAACTCTCTTCAGAGCACGATGATGTAACATATTATTGCGAAGTAAGGTGGCTAAGCAAAGGTAAAATGCTAAAAAGGTTTTATGACCTTAGAAAAGAAATAGCTGATTTTATGGAAATGAAAGAGAAAACATTGCCGCAAATTTGTGATCCAACTTGGCTTTGTGATTTGGCATTCCTGGTAGACATCACAGGACACTTAAACGATCTGAACTTGAAGCTTCAAAAGCAAGGGCAATTCAAAACAAAATTCGCTTGTGGGAAACACAAATGAGAAGTAAAAACTATTTTCATTTTTTAACATTATCCAGTCACGAAAACATTGAATACGGTCGTTATGCTGAACAACTGGAACCACTTTCCGATTTTAAGAATATGGATGGCACTTAATATTTTTACAAATCCTCGTAAGTGTAATGTGGAAGATGCTCCGCTTCACCTACAAATGGAGTTGATCGAGCTTCAAGAAGACTCATATTAGAAGTATAAATTTGATGACGTTGAACTAAGCGATTTTTACAGAACATACCTTTCCGAAGAGAAGTATCCACAGCTGAGAGTTTCCGCACGAAAAATAATTTGCACATTCGGAAGCACCTATAAATGTGAGCAACTTTTTTCAATCATGAAAATTAATAAAAATAAGCATCGTACTCGGCTTACAGATGTTAATTTAGAAAACACTTTGCGCCTATGTATTACTGATATTGACCCAAATATTGATCATCTTGTTTCTCAGCTTCAAACTCAAGTATCTCATTAATTTTCATTTGATTTTTCTATATTTTTTTATTAATTTTCTTTTTGTATGTTTGATTATGCTATTATAATTAATAAATAAAAAATTGTGTGATTTTTGTGGCTTTTTATTCACTACTACCTATGTATTTCTTGCCTACGGCCCGCGACCTGATTAAGTCCCGAAATTACGCCCTCAGCTAAGCAAGGGTTGCCCTTATCTGAGCTACAATGAAATTGATTTTTAATAGAACAATAAATGAAAGCAGCTTACCCACTTGCAACGTTGGTAATGGAATATCCAGATTTGTTTCGCGGCGTTATTGTCCACAATTGTTCGTCCCTATTTTGCCACTTCTCCAGTGTATAGTCACCGCGTATTACTTGCCAAACCATTCCGGTTTTTACATTTTCTATTACGTATCTCATATTAAGTTTCTTAGACTGTTCGATAAACAACCATTTGTCATTTTTATTAGTTGAATTATCGGAGAAACACAAATATTGGTCACCGACTTGTGCCTCAAATATTCTAGGGTCCTCAATTTCAATCCGAGTAGCACTGTGCATATTAAATTTCCATATGCCGTAAATTTTACCATTTAGTGGACAGCCTATATTTTCACTGAAACATAAGTATGTAAAGCGTGCCGTGTAATTTTTTCTTTTGATTATAAAAAGAGGTATTGGGGTTGTTTTATTCTTTATTTATTTTACATTTATTTTTAATCTCAAGAAAATCACAGTATGGTATTAAATTAGGGCGCCACGTAACATACGAGTGTAAGATATCTAGGTGTATTCTGTAAAGTTACGGAAGTCAGAACACTTCATAAAATTAGGGTTTTACTGAGATTCTGATATTTATTAGTCACATATACAGGGTGAGTGAAAATAAGTGAGAAAATTAAAAAAACAAAAATTATTTATTCTAAATCCCAGACTAATGGTTATTCGCTTCAGACAAATATAAAAACATTTTATAAAAAATAATTCATATTAATGAAATCAGATATATAATACCTACAAAAGATTGATTGGATTATAAAGTGACCAATTTAATATTAGAAACGATTATTAATTTGAGAAACAACATGTAACAAGGATAAAGAACACGTTTATGTGATTGGAGTTACTCCAAATCTCGCTTATTCATAGTACTATGCTTTAGCGTAACAATATCATATTTCAAATAAACAAATTATATACAGGGTGATTCAGTCATAATGTCATTAATTTTAAGAGCAGATAGAGAAAAATGAGTATAATACGATGGCGTGATTAAAAAAAATAAATGCATATTTAAGCTGAAAAAAAATATTTTCAAATCATTATTTAACCCCCTTTTCAGGCTTTTACTGACCGGCTGACGTTCACAATATTGTGCACGGCTACGATGTGAACAAGGTGCCCTAGATGCAACGTTGCCATATTTATATATTTTCCCTCATATAAAGACAATAAATAAACGGTTTGCTCACGTCAGCCAATAATAATTTAAAATGCTATAAATNTACTAGTGCTATGATTTAGATTTTTATCTATAGAAAGTATGTTGGAAAATATAATGTTAATATCTTTTGTATCTGTTTTTTTATTTAGAGTATTTTCTTCCTGGTTAATATAAAACATTTCTAAAGAACATCTTTTAGAATAATCCTTTTCTGTTGTTAAAATTTTAAAATTTTCAAAATCCATTTTATGTCCTGTAGAATTAACATGTTGTGAAAGTGCACAAGCATCTGGTCTTAATCTAATATCACTTTTATGTGAAGAAATTCGAGACTTAATATTTCTAGAAGTTTGTCCTATGTATAACTTATTACAATTTAAACAATTTATTTTATAAACTACATTAGATCTATTTTCGATTTTTACTTTATCTTTAACTTTTGAGAATAGATTTCTTACTGTTTTTATTGTTTTATTTGCAATTGTAATATTACTTTCTTGTTTTAAAACATTTTTAATTTTTGGTGTTAATTCTTTTATATATGGAAATGATTTATATTTTTTAATATTAGAATTTAATATGTGTTCATTATTTAATATATTATTTTGATTATCTTTATAGATATATATATAGAGAAATAGTTATAAAACCAGTCAAACTTAAAAAGAATACTACTTGTTGCGACTCTCTTATAAAATCCCTTTCTAGTGTGTCAATCACAGGTCAACCTTAATTATACTGTCAAAAATGTGGAGGATAGAGGTAAGCAGGATTCTCCCTGTATGTAAAAAGTGTCCGAAAAATAGAATACAAATAAGATGGCGCTGCTGTAGTTGAAGTCCCACAATTGAAAGAAATCAATCCAAGCTAATCCATACAACTACTTCTATCGCCAATCAGATTTAACATTGGTTGCTCACTAATGCCATTCTGGCTGTCTCTTGAACTACGCTTTTATCCGGACGCTTTTACAGCTAATGCTCTATAAGTGAGAATTCTCCTTATCTTTTCCCTCCCTAGTCAACAAAGATGACAGGGATTTTACTTTTACAAGAGAGACGCCATCTAGCAGTTTTCTATCTATGTTGGACTGGTTGTCTAACTATATGATATATAAATAAGAATATAACAAATTTATGGACGCCCCGTATCGTTAGAAGTTTGTAGCAATACTAGAGTCAAAAGTTTATCTAATTTGATGGTGTAGGTTTCTAAATAATGTTCGATCTAGCCATCTACTGAAGGGCGTTGAAATGTAGTAAACTTAGTTTGTAATGTCACAACGAGTTCTGTAGTGACATGAGATTCAACAGTCTAGTACGTCTAATCGCCGTTAGATGTCGCGGAGTGTCTTATTTTTAGAGTCAAATTTGATATATAAATAATATAAAAATGCTACATGATGTCGTGTTCAGTAGCGTAGCTAGAAGTCAGTGGGCACCTGGGAAATTTTTAGGCCTCCTTCTACACCTTTGTGGAAGTCAGTGGGCACCTGGGAAATTTTTAGGCCCCCTTCTACACATTTGTTCAAAAAGTAGAATATATCTGCTGTATAAGGTATACATTACCAATATTAGGAAATTTAGAATACCATTCAAGAAAATAGTATTACAAAGAGATGATAACTCAACTTAATATTACAGCATATACCATGTAAACAAAAGCAAAGCACTGTACCTGTCATGACGTTTTCTAGGACATGAACTGTTCACATATTTCTAAATCTCACTTTTTATTCTTTATTTCTATAAGTGTTTATAAATAAAGTACAGTTGAAGACCCCAGTGCAAGAAGGGTGTATTATATTTTCGCAAATATAGGTTCAACTCTCTTGGTCTGGTGTATAATATATAATATATGCAAGGACGGTATAAGTTATTGTTACTTATCTTCTTCTTGGAATGTTCCTTATCCACTTTTTCCATCTAGTGTAAATTTAAGTGTTCGTATATTGAAGCGAAACAGCGGTTTTCCCCAGTCGTCTTGAATTTTGCAAGTGATTTCAAAATCAAAGTGTAGCAGATCCCAACTTTATTAACAAAATACAATGGACGGATGAGTGTTGTTTTAGCCGTATTGGCATTTTAAATAGATACGTACCATAGTGCTTTTGAAAAGCAATAAGTCACTACGTATATGTACTACAAACTAAATAATTAGTTGAACATAATACTAAGAACTCATAATTATAAAACAGTGAAAGCGTTAACAATATTAAAAATACTAACATTGGAAAACAATTATTATCCGTTTATATTTATTTTTATTAACAAATAAATAATACCCGTTAATATTTAAAATGTAAACAAATGTCTTATTCATTCATGTGTATTGTGTATGTGTAAAAAGATTTTTTTAAATTATAAAAACTAGATTAGTGACCGCGGTAGGTCACATTCACTCCCGATAAACCTTTGTGGGTTAGCGGTCAGGAGCGCTCAGAAAAGGGGTTTAAATTAATTTTTTTTTTCAGCGTAAATATGTATCATAAAATTTTTTAATCCTGAATTCATATTCTACACATTTTTCCCTAGCTTCCTACGACATTCCTATCACTTTGTATTGGCAAATTTAAAACTACATTTTTGTACTTTCATTTTTACATACATAAGTAGAAATTTTTTAACAAGAATAAGTACTGTCTCAAGTTGTCTAGTCATATCTACGCCACTGACATTGTTTTTAAAGTTGCATAATAAGGTATGCATCTCAACAAAGTGAATAACCGTTCCAATGTAAATAATTACATTGTTGAAATTCAGAACAATAATAAATGGGTATTTTGATTTGTCACACAAATTAATCATCAGCTCTACTAAGTAGGTAGATACAGTTTCATTCTGTTATAACTTCACCGCTTTTAGTTGGTATTAACCAAGCAGAAAAATTGTTTTCCTAAATAAATTTGTTAAAATTAGAACAGCTAGAGGAATTCTAAAATTTATAATTTGTAGTATAATATAAATTTTTCAAAAAACGTAATGTGATATGCGAAGTAACATATGTTTAAATAAACAAATTCAGTTTAAGAGTTTATTAATTTAATAAGCATTTTATATTTACACAATAGACAAATTATATACCTACTATGTTGTTGGATAAACTGTGGCTCGTAATTATTATTATAATTTATATCTGATTTATATTGTATATATGTAAAAGAGTGAGCTTTAACCAGCTTTATTATTTTATTAAAATAGATATTAGAAATAAAAAACACGCCACTACAACAACAGTTCTCAACTGATTGAGACAAATGAGCGCGTTTAGCTGCCAATACGTTGACTTTGAGTGCAGTGTTCCTTGCCTATCTTTATCGAAAACAAAAGCCACAGATCATCGGAGTCTTGCACTCTGTCTTTGTGGATATGCCTCGTAGATATAGTGTATAAAGCATATGTCATATGGTGACTCTCCTGACGCATGATCTTAGCTCTTTGCTAAATAATGGAGTGTCGAGTCGGCGCTTACAGCTCATGGAATATATTTTCCCACAATGTCTTTCTAATAGACTGGAAAATGTGTTCCACTTAAAATAACGAAGAAGACGTCAACTTCTGGTATAACCGGAAGCGTTAGGTGGAGTTAGGTGGACGCCATTATTTTAGTTGAGAACGGCATGCCTGAAAACAATATTGCCCAAGTTTTGAAAATTAAAATCGAACTAGTCACTGAAATATGTCTAATGTCTCGTCACCATGGGACACCCTGTATATACGCTTAAAACATGTTTGTTCAAATTCTATTCACTATTATGACTAATACTAAACATTGTTGAAATTGTGTTACTACTGTGAACTTCCCAGAATGCACTGTTTTCGAGATAAATGATAAAATGTTGAACCATGTCTATGTAATTTTTACTATAAGGGTCAAAACATGAAATTATCCAATAAACTGTGGTCAAGCATTTTAGTTACACCCTGTACAATTTTTACACCATAATAGACCATAAGACAAAGGTTGATATGTGACCGTTTCATAATTTTATATAGGGTGTTTTCTATACATGTGCCTAGTGTACCACATTCAAACGACAATAAACACAGTAATTTTTTACCGTATCTCAAATAATAGCACAGCTATTACACTTTTTTATTAATGCACCATCCTGTATTCCATCTAAAAAAATGCAAGTTTAATTTACATCTCTGACTCGTAAATAAG